CTTCTCAAGAAGCATGATTTTTAGCAACATTTATTTTCTGTTTAAAAAATTTTTAAATTTATTTTAGAGAGGAAGGGAGAGAGAAAGAGAAATTAAAACATAAATGATGAGGGAGAATCATTGATTGGTTGCCTCCTGCATGTCCCACACTGGAGATTGAGCCCACAATCTGGGCATGTGTCCTGACCAGGAATCGAACTGTGACCTCCTGGTTTACAGGTCAATGCTCAACCTCTGAGCCACCCTGACTGGGCACAACATTTACTTTCTGGATTAAGTTTTGGATTATGGTGCTACCCAAAATCAAGCTACCACTAAAAGGAAACATTATTCTTCTGTCTATGAAATATAGATTCTAAGATTTGAGATAAAGTGTGGCTACCACCTGATGGTCTTAGTTTGAATAAAAATAATCTTCAGTTATAATAGCATGTCTTTATAACAAGTTTTGGGATCATGATGTTAATTAAGAGATAAAAAGGATCAGACTATATCATACTTATTGTGCACATGGGAATATAAAATAAAATAAAAAATGGTAAAGCAAAGTGCCCCAAAACACAAAGCACATACTTACTCAAAATTACTTTATAAGTATTTCATTCACTAAATTTGTCAGAAAAAGGATATGACTGTTATAACCCTTCAAAGAAGGGGGGAAAAAAACACACAATTACAATTCTTACAAACTTTATTAGACGCATGTTCTCTTCAAATTTGGAAGTTAAGTTTTAGAGATGAGGTGAAATTTCTGGAATTATTCCATCCTGAGGGATAGTATTTGAAGGAGGACAGAGGTGGTGTGTGGGATAAGAAGGTAAAGACTTCCTGCGTAGGGGGCAGCATTAAGAATACCCAGAAAAGTCAGTGGGTGTAGGGAACAAAAGAATCTTTCAGAAGAATTCTGTAGGCAATAAATGCTAGTGAAATGGGGGAGGGGAGATTTTACTTTCTTTTTGAGCTTCTTGAAAGTTTTGTCTCAGAAGGGTAGTGGAGAATGAAACTAAATTCTAAAACTTTTCAATTTATTTAAGGACAAACTTTTAAAGCATTTTTTAAAAATCACATTTGCTTTATTCAGTAGGTTATAATCTACACTTACCAATATTTTAATTGGCCCAGATGTGTTGAGGGTGAACTCCCCTCTAGCAGGCACCTATGACCTTTATACAATCTGTGTAATTTTGTGTGTGCAATTTCTTACTCTCTTATTGTAAGATATTCCAGGTTTTGCCATTATGTGTTAAATAAATTAAAACATTTATTCAGCTTATGAGTATTTATTTAATTCCAAACTAATGTTGAAGGTTTCACTGTGCTTATAACACTAAATAAAATGGTCATATTTGTGCATCCTTCCCACACCTTTTCATATGTAGTGGCTACTCCTAGAAGGAAAGTGTGAGGACTGTGTATGTTTCCCTTTTGTTTGCGGGTGCAGACACTCATGGCCAGCCAGCTGTTGCCTCTTTGTCTCTCTCAGTTACTGTGCGTTTAAAGAACGTCAGGGCTCCCACTCCACGCTTATTCCGTTAGGATAATGCAGCTTAAATAGGAATTTAAGTTGTCCATGTCTGAAAAACAAAGTGACGGCAGCCTTCCAGTTGACACTGAATCAGGACCTCACAAGTCTTATGCCTTGAAAACACAGCACTTGGGGCTGTGAAGGAAGTGACTTTGGATCTCAGGTTTACCCAAGTGCAAAGGACATGAAAACATACCTACAAAGTGTCCCCCTCAGATAGAAACTCCTGAGAGGGTTGAATTAAGTCTGACTTTTGGTATATTTATGTTCTAATACGAATGAAGTAGATAGCTAAAATCCAACGCTCAGATGCCATCTACCAAGTCCCCGGTAACAATTAAATGTGAGCCTGGTTCCATTTTGCTATGGGGGTAATTCAGTTCTGGTGGTCTCCTCCAGGTTCAGGAGGAGATGCTGTGTAATTCGATGATGTCAATATTTTATGAATGATATCCTGTCCTAACACCTTATGAACTCCAGCTTGCTCTGCCTGCAGTGTCTTTTTCCTTCTGCTCCCAGTGCCTGCTTCCACTGTTCAAGTCCTTGTCAGTGCTGAGCACTTCTCAAATGTGTTCTTCTCTGTGCTTTAGCCAACGAATGAGAATTGCTCAGAAGAGCTTGTTAGAATGCAGATTTCCAGGCCCTGGGATTTTGAATGAATGTGTCCATAGTGTGTCCTAAGAATCTGCATTATAAAAATTACCCAATGAAATCAGAGGCAGGGATATGAAATATGAGGAATACTGCCTGGATGATGAGGCACCCATGTCCCATCTCAGGTCCCTGGGAAGGGAGTATGCTGAGTCTGGGGCTTGTGTGGGTTAGGAGTGAGAGGAAGCATATGTAACATTCTTTTAACTTCTAAACATCTATGTTTTTACTGTCAATTGTTATTAATTAATGATTAGTTGATGTTTTATTCATTTTCTTCATTAACAGTGTGCCAGGACAATTGGTTTGGTATTGACTTGCATTTTGCTGTCTGTACTGGAGGTTTTTTTTTTCTTTCCCTATTCCAATCAGATAGCCAGCGCTTCTGTGATTCCTGGCCTCAGGGCACTTGACGTACTGGCGTGGAAACTGCTGACAGTCTTTAAACTCACTGCACAGAGTTTTGATGTGTCCTTAAGAAGAGGGAGGCAAGGGATGGCCATTTGTTGAAATATCAGTGGGAAAGTGTCTCCAGCCTGGAGAAGGGCAGCAACCTGGCCCTGCCCCTTGGTGGGAATGGTTTCATGGCCTTCACCCTCTCTCCATCCCCTCTCCAACGCCCTCCGGGTAGTGGGAGCCCATCTCAGTAAAGAGGCCTGGGCCCTGCTTGGCTTCAAGTATGGCATGGAAACGCGCATTCACACGATAATTCAGACTTGCACAGGGAGATGTCTATGGTGACCCTGATGGACAAAAGGTGAGAGAGACTCTTCACTGAATGCCAGACATCGGTGCTGATGATCCTACTGTTGTAGACTTTACACTCCAGTGTCAGATTCCGGTGTGACCCCAGGAAAGCCAGGAAACCCCAAATTTGATGAGCTTGAATTTTCTAACGGCCTAGGGGGATGGAGATTTAAGTCTGTTCAAGAAAATAAAGAAATCCTCTACTTCTTGAATACTTGAGTCTGTCCCAGAAAATTCTTTCCTGCTATAATAGCAATGGTTGTCATATTTTTTGCATGCCTACTATATGCCCAGCAATGCAATAGATGTTTTATCTTATTTTCTCTGATACTCTTAAGAACTCTGCTGAGTCGTTTTCCCAATGTAGGACCTACTCTCAATATATCCATCTAAATATGTATGACAGGGTTGTATGCAAATTCTCCCAACTACAGCTGTATTATTGACCAGTATAATTAATTAATAGGATTCCCAATCCTTTCCTAGCTCCTCTTCCTCTGTCACATCTTACATCTGGTATTTTCTATCTTTGCCCTTTTCACTTTTCTTACCACTCTTTTCCTGAGTGAGAGCAATCCTTTCCATGGCTCACATATATTTTACATGAAAATAAGAACTCCCTTAGCTCCTGACTGGTATGTCCAATATGAAATTCACATTCAGTATGTTAAAACCAGAGCTCATTTTCTTCCAAAACCTATCCCTCCTCTCATAGTCCTAATTTCAGTGAGGAGGCCCTACATCCATCCAGGCATGTAAGTAAAAAACATGGAAGTCATTTTGATTCCTCCCTATAACTTAAATGTCATATATTATGAGTTATTGCCCTAAAATCTCATCTGACTCTTACTTCACATTCCCATTATATTTGTCTCAAATCTCATCTTTTGCTTGAACTATTGCTAAAGCCCTTTAATCGACCTCCCATTTCTAATCTCTGTCCTACAGTGTTGCCCAGATCTTTTAACGTGAAAACTCAGTAATTTAATTTCTCATGTTAGAAAACTCCTATGGTCCTCTATTGTTTAAATTAGAGTAGAAATCCAATTCCCTTGGTATGGCGCACAGATTCTTCGTGATCCAGCCCCAGCACAACACTCGAATCCCTCCCAATACTCTTCACAATCCCCTTTCCGTGTGGTTAGGCTGAGTCCTGGCAGTCACACTCATACTGTTTTAGGTTTCTTGGTTTGTTCATGTTATTCCTGCTCCTGCAGTGACCTTGTCTACTTAAAGAAAACATCATCATCATTAACTCACCATAAACATTACCTCCTTTCTGACCCTATCCTCCAACACTGACAATTTACTTTAAAAAAAATACTCCATATGTTTCTCCTAGCACCTATATTATTGTGATTACACTTAACTGATGACATGTCTGCTAGACTTATCTCTTGAGGGCATAGCGTATAAGTTCTTGCTTTTGAATCCCAAGTGCCTAGCACTGTACTTGGTGTATAGGCAAACTGACTACACAACTAGGTGTTCACCTCGCTTATTTATTAACTGCACCCTCTTTCATTCTCAAAGTGTCTTGTTTGCCAGGTAAGTTATATATGGTCTCCCCTCCACATAATACATGGTTAGTAAATGTTTGAATGAATGAGTGAATAAGCCCGTTTTCCTTAATTAGCCCTGCATCTGAGCACTTACTATGCAAAGCAATGACGTGAGGTTTCTTTTTAAGTTAATGCCCTTTTTACTTAGCTTCACTCCACCTGATTTAATAGGACTTCAAATTACGTTGGGCGACACAGCTCTCAATTGCTTTTGGGACTCGCTGCATGATTTCAGAGTTTATTGTCGCTTGTCTCATTTTGCAATAATGAGGGCCAGGATTTCAAAAGCTCAGTGAATTAATAAAAACCAGACAGCCCCGCAGTGGAGGCTGATAGGCAACATTAAAGTTGCCCCCTAACCCACACTGCCCTGCTTTAGCCCGGTCATTACCGACGGCGCCTACTAGTTTGTTTTGCCCAAAACAAAAATGAATCCGTCGGCGTCAATGCCCTTTCCTCTGCGACCAATAGGAAGCCGGCCTCCAGGACACCAGGTGTCTCTACTTCCGCCCCGTCCTCCGGGCCTCCAACTCCCGGGCCGGTCCGCCGCCTCCGACTCCGCTCGGCGCCGGGGCCGCGCCGGCGGTATGAGCGCGGCACACGGCGGGTCGGTGCGGACGCTGCGGGTGCCGGGCCGCCACGGCTACGCCGCCGAGTTCTCCCCGTACCTGCCCGGCCGCCTGGCCTGCGCCGCCGCGCAGCACTACGGGATCGCGGGTGAGGCCGGGCCCCGCCGCACGCCGGGGCGGGGGCGGGTTCCAGCCACGTCCGCCTCTCCCTGCTCGCCGGGAAGCGCTTCCGACAGCCGGCGGCGCCGCCACTGACCGCCAGGGGGAGCCGAGGAGCCGATCGGCCCCCCTCCGCGCCCGCCTTTGTCCAGGTTGGGGAGTCGGTGTCAATTTCTCCCCCAATTTTCGCGCGGAAATAGCACATGGAAGAGGCCTAGTGGCCCGGGTCCTTGTCCTTATTGCTTAAGAGCGCCCCGATTCCGCCGCCAGACGACACCCCAATCTCCCCCATGCTCACGCTGCCCGAGGAAGAGTGTGTGGAGCCTTGTGGCCCCTCTGACCGGTGGGACCCAGCACAGCAGGGAAAACCGTCCGCAGGGGCACCCCGGTGCCTGGTCGTTCCTCCCCGCTCCCCGCGGTCAGCATTCGGCCCTCAGTGGTAATCCAGTGCCGTTGAGCCTGCGCTTGCAGTCTCCTCACAATTGCCATCAGGAAATGTATTAAGTTCTGCCCTCCCTGTTTGTTGTCTCAGCAGGGATACATACATTCATTTGCAAGCACTTATTTGGGGTTTGAGTTCATTGTCGTGGGCTGGATTGACATGCAGGGTTTCAGTCTTAATTTTTCTTCTCTTCATTCATACCCTAGCTGTTATTTACACACCGAAAATCTATGAAACGAGTCCCTACATAATGTCAGCTTCCTGGAGTAGTGCTTGTTTGGTCCCACACCTGGAAAAAAAATACTGTGATTTCCAAAAATATTTGCTTTCTTGTATTTTCACCATTAGCTCTTAGTGTTTGCACATTTAGATTTGCAATAATTGCCCACCAGTTAGGTTGAAGACCCATGCGTTTGTGACATTTTAAATTAAAACCTTTACAAAAACTTTAAAGGAATTAATATTTTTTAAAAAATCAGGTTTAAATAAGAGTCCCCTCCCCAGTTCCTATAAAAATTATACCTTTTAAAATATGCTGGTCCCCTTAATAAAAATAATTCATCTTTGGTATATAACATATATTCTGTTCAGCACTTTACCACCAAGTTTGTGGTAAATTCCACCAGTTGGTTTGTCTTAAAACCCCTTCTTTAATGCATTTGAGACCTATTGGCAAGGCAGTGTGATGTAGGAGGAGCAGAGGCCTGCAGGTCTGGAAGCCAGGGGTTTAATCACCTGTAGATAGGGATGATGATAATACCTATCAAGGACGTTTGTGTGCTTGGTACCTGCCTGGCCACAGAGTATGAACTCAAATATGTCCTCTGGTGAGATGACAAATTTAATATTTAATGATTGAAGCACAATATAGAAAGACAAATGGAGAACACAAACCCATTATTTTGTAAACATGGGCTCAATAGCTTTAGGGAGAAATTCATGTTAGTAACTTTAGGTACTCGTGCTTGATCCCTCCTTAACCTAGATGGTCCCCTGGTGGTTTCAACAGCATAACCTCAACATTTTTTCCCCTTAGGCTGTGGAACTCTGCTAATATTGGATCAAGATGAATCTGGGCTTAGGATTTTTAGAAGGTAAAATAGTTCTCTAATTATTAACTCACTAGAGGCCTGGTGCACGAAATACGTGGTGTGTGTGTATGTGTGTGTGTGTCCCTCAGCCCAGCCTGCACCCTCTCCAATCTGGGATCCCTCTCACAATCCAGGATTGCTGGCTCCCAACCTCTCGCCTGCCTGCCTGCCTGCCTGCCTGCCTACCTGCCTGGCTGATTGCCCCTAACAGCTTCTGCCTGTCAGCCTGATCACCCACTAACCACTCCTCTGCTAGCCTGATCGATGCCTCACTATTCCCTTGCCAGCCCGGTTGCCCGTAACTGCCCTCCCTGATCGCCCTTAACTATCCTCTGCAGACCTGGTCATCCCCAACTGCCTTCCCCTGCTGGCCTGGTCACTCCCAACTACCCTCACCTGCAGGCCTGGTTGTCCCTAACTGTCCTACCCTGCTAGCTCAGTCACCCTTAACTGCCCTTCTCTGATAGCCTGGTCACCCTTAACTGCCCTCCCCTGCAGGCCTGTCCTCCCCCCAGCTGCCCTCCCCTGCAGGTCTGGGCTCTCTAACTGCCTTCCCCTGCCAACCTGGTCACCCCTAACTGCCCTCCCCTGCCAGTCTGGTTGCCCCCAACTGTCCTCCCCTGTAGGGCTAGTTCTCCCCCTCCTCAGCAACTATCCTTCCCTGCAGGCCTGGGTCCCCACCAACTGTCTTTCCCTGCAGGCCTGATCATCTCCAACTGCACTCCCCTTCTGGCCATCTTGTTGACGGCCATGTTGTGTCCACATGGGGCAGCCATCTTTGACCACATGGGGTGGCCATTTAATGTGTTGGAGTGATGGTCAATTTGCATATTACCTCTTTATTATATAGGATATGTATTCTCTTTTGCTATTAAAACCTTAATAGAATTAGGTTTTGAATTTTCTTTATACATAAAATTTTAAAAAAATTTGTAGTATAAAAGAAATGTCAGCATTTCCATAGTACAGAACTTATTTTTGCCATTAAGTTTGATTGTCAGTTTTCTTCTATAGCTCTGTCTCTTAGTGCCCATTTAGGAATTATAAAACTAAAAAACAAAAACAAAAACAAAACCCCCCCAAAAAAACTAGTTAGTATACTGCTGTGTGACATTTGTATTTTGGATCTCTTAATATCTTTTACCTTCACTCATTCAGAAGCTATTACCCATTTTGTAGATATCTTTCCTGTCTTTCCATGCTTGTCTTGTCTGTATGTTGGACTCAACACCTCCATCAGAGCAGTTAAGGTAGAGAAAGGAAAGGAAATACTGTCAGAAAATAACTACCTGCTCATAACTCATGTGAAAGATTTATGGGAGACATATTGAAATTATTGCTCTAAATTAGTATTCTAAAGTGCTTGCTAGTCCCGCCTCTGAACCACAAAAATCAGTGAGTGCCCAAGTATGGCAGCATGCCCTCATGTAAATAGTGCTGTATTGCTAGTGGGCAGACCTAATTTTAATATAGCTTTGCAGTTTTCTAGCTGTATGTATTCGGCTATTCTTTTAACCTCTCCAAACGTGTTTCTACATATGACAAGTGCCAGTTCTACTTATTTCTCATTGTTGTGAAGATCAGGTGAGATAATATGTGTTAAAATGTGATAAATTAAAAAACAAAAACTGTAACGTTATTTTTATTTTACGTTCAACTGCCTATATCACTAAATGTTTTTGTTGCAATTTTTCCTGGTACAGCTTTGACTGGAACGATGGTTTGTTTGACGTGACCTGGAGTGAGAACAATGAACACGTCCTGGTCACGTGTAGTGGGGACGGCTCGCTGCAGCTCTGGGACACTGCCAAGCCCACAGGGCCACTGCAGGTCTACAAGGAACACACTCAGGAGGTAGGAAGTCTTCCTGGGCCGTGGTTTTTCTTTGGGTGAAATACATCTGGGGATGCACACTTGGGGAAAAGTCTTCAGGGGATTAGAAGGTTAAGCTTTGGTGTTTGTCCTACATGTCTTAAGTCACTTATTATTTGATTATTCAGACTTAAACTACCTCTTGGCCAAAGGAGTTAGGAAATAAGCAAAGGTCAGGCTTCTCATTGGTCAGTAAAAATGCCCCCAGTAGTAAGCATATTGTGGCACCATTGCTGTCTTCATCCTGAAGGAATATGCCTGCCATAATCTGCCTCAGGATAGAGGTAGGCGGATTTTTCACAACGACATTGAAAGACTGCCGTTAGGTCTTCAGTAGGATTCCTGAGGATTTTCAGAATATATTGGAGCAAGAGCATCCGTTACTGAAGAGATTTTAAATCTAAATCTGGTTCATGTGTCTAGATAGTGTGTAGCATAAAAAATAGTTTGATGTTCTTAAGTCATATTAAAGTACATCTATGTTTTTGATGAACATGATGGTAAAGACATTCTCTTTTAATGCTTTACTTTAAATGTTTAAAAATTTTCCTTGAGGTAGCAATAGCTCCTTCAAATGAAAACTTACAAATTTACTTTAAAATTTGTATCTACACACGATCCGGCCCATAGAAGCTTTTATTTAGTAAATGCTTTTCAGATGCAAGAATATTAGTCTTTTGTGATAAAAGATTCATTATGAGGATTCCAGGCATCATTTTATAACTATAGCTGTTACAAATCAGTGTTTCTAAAATTGTGATGGAAAATAATGAAAAATTATAGTTTTTCTCTTTTATTGTGAAGGCTCTTTGAATAAAGTAGTTATAAATTATCATATTTTCATAGAATCACTGAAAATTAAGACAACTTTGGTAAAGAACTTCTTTAGTTTCAGGATATTCAATGAAAGAATTTCCACAGAGCAGGATGTCCAAAATGCAGACATTTGTGTGGTATCTTCATGATTTTTGCCATCTTCCTATACTACTTAGTAGAGGCCTGGTGCAGAAAATTTATGCATGGGTAGGGTCCCTAGGCCTGACTGGCAATAAAGGCCAATCTGTGGGGCAACCGATGGGGTGATTAGAGGGGCCCCCACGGGCACCTGCCTTGGCTAGGCTGGCCCCACCTGCTTGCTAGCCCCACCCTCCACTGCCACCACCAGTCACCTCCCTCTACGGCCAGGCATTCGGGGTGTGGGGTGGCCCTTCTGGTGCCCGCCTTGGCTGGCTTAGGGCCTGCAGGCAGGGGGAAGCTCCTGCATTGGGCATCTGCCCCTTGGTGGTAAGTGCACATCACAGTGAGCAGTCATTCTGCCGGTCATTCCACTGTTCAGTCGATTTGCATATTAGGCTTTTATTATATAGGAGAATTAATTTAAAAAATTAAAAAAATATCTTTTTTCTCTCAAAAGTTTTTTTTTTCTTTTTATTAAATCATTGGTGTATTGTTTATCTACATAAATTCTAGGGCTGTAACTAATGGGTCATAAAATATCTAATTATGTTAAGTAGGCTATATCACTTAATATTTTTCTTTAAATGAGTTTTATGTTATTTCACTCATCCTAAAATAGTTATATTCATGAAACCATGGGATTGATAGCTAATTTAGTATATATATTTATTAAATTGTAACATGTTAAAAGAAACATATAATAAATAAAATAAAGTCTTTGAACTAGTTAAAATAATCTCATACAGCCAGTGGTATGTGTACTGCAAAATGGAGCAAAGTAGATTTACAGTGTTTGTATGGAAAATAAATGCAATAATAAATAAATAACAATTTAAGAATAAACTGTGTTTTATGTACTCACAACTATAAACCTGCTTTGCCCCACCCTGTACCTACTACCTTCTGGAAAATACTATTCTAGAATGTTCCTCATGATGGTCTTTCAGCCTTTGCTTCATTTCTGTGAAATTGAATTTCACTGTCTCACATAACTAACCTGACTTTTAGATTGCTGTAATGGTTAGAAACTACTCTCTTAGGCCCAGATCTGTTCTCCATGGTAACCAGCTGTTGCTTCTAATGCCTTTCTGTGAAATGGTGAGATTATGACCAATCTCCCTTTTCCAGGAGAACCCTTGAAAATAGTCATCATGTCCCCTTTAGTCTTCCCTCTTTCAGACTGTGCACTTTTAATTCCTTCAGCCTGTCCTCAGATTACATGGTCTTTACATTTGTTACCCTGCTAGTAAATGCCTTTGCATACTCTCCTGTTCTTTAATGTTGCTTTTAATATTCTAATATTAATGTTCTAATATACCTAATTTATTAACTGCTCACTATGATGTGCACTGACCACCAGAGGGCAGATGCTCTGACTGGTAGATTAGCTTGCTGCTAGAGTCTGGCCAACTGGGACTGAGTGAGACAAAATGGAGCCCTCCCGTGGTCTTTCCCCACCTGGCCAACCTCCTGCGTCCCTCCCTGGCCTTGATTGTGCACCAGTGGGGTGCCTCGGCCTGGCCTGTGCCCTCTTGCAATTGGGAACCCCTCAGGGGGATGTTGGAGAGCTGGTTTCAGCCCAATCCCTGCAGGCCAGGCCAAAGGACATCACTGGTGAACAAATTTGTGCACGGGGCCTCTAGTTGTTTATAAAACTCAAATTACACCAAGCAGGGTGATGAATAGAGAACTATAGGGACCTCATAAAGTTCATCTTCCATGAGGTTATTAAGAGAAAGAATTTCTGATGGTTAACTTAAAACTCAGTATTATAATACCAAATATTTGGCATTTTTCCATTGAAGAGAAGCACAGCATTTATTAGAAGTTTTCTCTTATACTAGATATGCAGAGACACTTAAAAGGATTTAAAGTCAAAGGAGAGTTTTGAGGAGCTAATAAAATTTGTTGAATAAATTAGTAAATTAGTATGTGAATGATCACAGCTGATTCCTATTTTTTCCCACCAATGTGTTTAGAGAAACTTTGTTACACAATAGACTAGCACACAGGGGTCATTTTCTCCCATGGGAGAGAGTTTAGAGTGATGAACAGTATGGTTTTGAATCCTGGCTCTATAACTTTCCTGCTGTGTGACCTTGGGCAAGTTACTTTCCCTAAACCTAGTTTCTTCATTTGCAAATGAAGACAATAGGTTTGTTGTGAGTGCTTAGAACAGAGCCAGCACTAAATAAATATGAGCTATTACAATATTATTATTTGCTCTTATTATAGTAGGGTTGTAAAAGCATGAAACAAGTTAGGAATCTTCCAGTTACTCATTTCACCACTCAGTGACTGAAAAATGTCCAACAGTGAATTTTCAGATAGTCAGATAAGTAGGTACTGAAGCAAAAAGGAGAAATCCAAGACCTAGATATATTTTAGTTCTTGAGGAATAAAGGTCTTGGTGAAATCAAAGAAAATCATTATTCCTTTGAATGGCTTCTAACTTTAACATCAAAGCAGAAATCAAGTTCTTCTCTATGTTAACTGGCAGCTGCAGAGGCCGTTATGTCTTTTGGGCCCATAAAATGCTGTTAGCTTAGACTGCTGCTGAATATATAACAGGAGTGGAAGAGTAGGAAAATTTTTAAAGGTTCAGTGAGGAGGAAAAAAGAGGGTAATTAGGAGTTTTATTTTTATTTCTTTACTTCATGACTTATAGCACTGTGCTATGGAAAGCGAGTTCAAACTCACTTTACTAGTAAAGATGACGTAGACAATGTTTATTTCAATGTCTGGTTTTCAGTGTGCTTATTACCATTCTTAAAAATAGTTAAAATTTGTCTTCACTGTCAAATGGCAAGGCTTTTCAATTTGCTGAAAACTTAAAAGATATTTGATCCATTTAAAGTTTTTTTTTATCATCGTTTATAAAAAGTATTTTTGAAGTAAGTATCCAACAAGTAGTATGTTGTGGAGAAAATGTACTTAACTATACATTTCATAGTAAAAATGTGCCTTATTTTAAAAAAGAGTCAATTATTTACCTCTTTGATAATGATAGTAGTTGATAAGCTTATAATGATAGGTACCCAAAAAACTATTAACGCAGAGTGGCAACTCATGCATTTTTTTAATTGACTTTTTACAGAGAGGAAGGGAGAGGGATAGAGAGTTAGAAACATCGATGAGAGAAACATTGATCAGTTGCCTCCTGCACACTCCCTGCTGGGTATGTGCCCGCAACCAAGGTACTAGCCCTTGACCAGAATCGAACCTGGGACCCTTGAGTCCTCAGGCCAACGCTCTATCCACTGAGCCAGGTTGGTTAGGGCACAACTCATGCATTTAACACCATTTTGTTCTCTTTAGAAAAATGTATTTATATTTAAAACTAACCAATAACAGATTTGCCAAACAAAGAGATATCTCCCTACCTCCCTCCCTCCCTTCTTCCCTTTCTCCCGATCTCTCTTCATCACCCTGGTTGGTGTAGTTTGATATTTACTAATAATTGTGAGAAAGACAATAAACAATGTTGTGGCACATAGAGATGGTTGGTCAGGAAGTTATGAAAGGCCACTGAGATCCTGTCAAAAGGTTAGAAAATACAACCTGAAGAGGCTCTCATTGATTATGATGGGGCAATCTGAGCACCAAAAGGAATGACAGCAATGGATTGAAACACTATACACACACATAGACACACTTATATGTATATTTTCACTCATAAAAAACAAAACAAAAACAACCCCAACTGGTCAGCATTGAAGATTCCAAGGATAACTGCCTCATTCTGAATAAAGGTAAGGAATGAAGGCTTTTATCCCGCCTTTCCTATATGAATTTTATTGTGGGGTAAACAGTTGATGTGGAAAATTTCTTATAACAGAATTTTAGCTAATAAATGCCATTTAGTAGCCCCTAATGAAACGACTCTAAGCAAGGGTTATGCATGGATGCTGAAACCATTAATTTAAGAATGATACATCTTCTGAACAATTTTAGGATCACTACAAGTGGGTCAACCAGAAATTATATACCTTCTAATATAATAGGAAGCTAAAGAAAAAATTGAA